GCACTCAAAAAAGGCCCTATCCTTATACATTAACAGAAGTTGTTTTTTAGTAAATCCGGGGCCGTGTACAACATTTGGTAAATGTAATATTATTAGTCTTGTCTAAGCACTCCTATTTTCATAGTGTTTCTGTCTGACCCTTGGATGGGGAATCAGACTCCCTGTGAATCATGTGAATAATGGCATTTTTCACTATGCTATTGAACCACTATTGATAATGTCTCCGCTGAGAAGCCTTGTTCTCTCCAAAAAATAAAAAGAATTCTCAGCACCTTCTTTGTGAACTAGGAAATAACACATTTTGCTAATCTCTTACAATAGGCTTAACATGTTACACTATTAATTAAATAATAAAATATCAATATGTGGGCCTCCATGTATCTATGCTATTTTTAAACAGAATATATTGCAGAATATCACAAGAAAAAAACTGAATTTGTGATTATGGTTAATATTATATTGAGATGATGACCCTCAGGATTCAGTTAACAAATGGTTTGGATCTAATTTACTAAGAAAATGGCCTCAAATCACAGTGTGGACAGCATGCATAAAAGGAATACAGGTTGTGTACCTATTAAGATATTTCCTTTTCTGACTGTAACCTTTTTTTTTAATATCATACTAATATATTCTGATTCATATTTATGGGGTCAGAGTCCAGGGAAGTAGCTGTTGAGAGCAGATAAATCTGAAACAGGAAAGGGCCTTCCCCATACTCTTGCTGCAAAATTGGAAGCACACAATTCTTTAGAATGTGATTGTATTAAATAAATAAATAAATAAATATATATATATATATATATATATATATATATATATATGCATATGCATATTCAATATACTGTGATCATCAGAGTTTTTAGAATGCCTTCTATTTACAATCACTGTTGTGGTCTGTCAAATTGTGTGTACGTTGCTGTTTTGACCTTGGTATGGTAAGCAATTGTTTTTTTACAAATAAGAAAAAATACTTGAAAAGCAGTAGAATTTTGACATGACTTGTATTAGCAAAGTTTTGAACTCAATGAACTAAATCATTCTACAGCAATTACTTGTTTTGTGTTTTATTCTCAGTGTGCCAGAATGCTTCCTTTTCATGATAAAATCACAAAAATGTTTGCTGGAAGATCAAGCCTCTTGGCCCCTCCACAAGGATTTGTTTCTGACCTTTTCCACCTTTTTTACTCCTCATGAGTTTGCATGTCTGCATATAGTAGTTGTGAAATGATTAGCCTCATGATTAGATATTTTATCATGTCTGCAGCCTAGCCTTTCTATGCAAAACCTGACTTGGGGCCCCCTCCCCTAACCCACACATCTTCATTCATTCATGTCTTCATTGACATAATGGTAACCCAGTAGATCTTTAATTATATATTGAAAACTTATTGAATCTTACCTTAGGAGTTTAGCTTTTTACATAGACAGTGGGACACAGGCAATCTAAGACAGGTCTTTTTAACTTGGAGAAACTTCATTCTGCAGCTGGATAGAAAAAACTCATGATAAGCTCTGTTCCAATTCAGTGCAACTCCCTACGGTCAGCCACATAATTACTGGCACCTCTCAATCATATAAAATATAATAATGTAATGATTTATGTACATATAATGATTAAGTGTTCTTCAAAATTGTTAGGGGAAATTTATCTAATAGAAATCAGTAGTGTTTTATTTTAAGGATAGTGTATTCTTTCGAAAACACATGGGGCAAAACTATAGGCAGCCCTAAAAATGATTTAAAACCAAAGAAATGTTCATTTTTGGGAAAAAAATATTTCTTTTTATAGCTCCTAGTTTCCAGGAGCTCCATTATTGGAGTGACCATTTCTGCTTCCCTGAGATATAAAAATAAGGTTACACACATGTATCATCTTTTTGTCATCCATCAACATGTGTAAAACCAAAGAGCTGTCAACCCAGAAGACACAGAAGACTGTAGACAAACTGACTTGTTGTACAGGTGGTATCATATGACAGTCCCACTTTGAAAGTCACTGAGCTCTTTTCAATTCAGTTCAATTCAATTCAACTTCGTCATTATACATTTATAGGGGTACAGTATAACAAAACACATTCGGGCTACTTCTCTGGAGTATAAACATTAAGAAAGGGACATGAGTGCACTTGTACTAGTTGGATGACACACAACATATATACACAAAATAAGTCCAAAAACAATAAATAGACAATACAATAAATAGAAAATAGACAACAAACACAAAATAAACTAGAGATGCACAAGTGTACTGGTGCATAGGCAGTGATGAGTGATGAGGTGAGATTCTCGGCTATATTAGTTTAAAGCAGCTCACTCTTTCCACTATGGTTCCACCAATGCTCAGAGATGTGTACACTTTGCTCCTTTTCCTGAAATCAGCTCTTTGGTTTAGTTTAGTTTAGTTTAGACTGAGGAAGAGAGTGTTGTCTGGGCACCACTCTGTAAGAAGTTTCACCTCTTCCCTGTATGCTTTCGCATTGTTGTTAGTGATACCACTACCGTTGTATTGTCAGTAAACTTGATGATGATGTTGGAGATGTGTTTTGCAATGCAGTCGTGGGTGTACAGGGTGTAGAGCATGAGTAATGAGACCTTGTGGACAGCCTCTGCTGAGAGTGAGGGTGGGAGAAATGTGGCTGTCTATCCAACAGACTGAGGTCTGCCGGTGAGGAAATCCAGAATCCAGCTGCAGACTGTGTGATTCCTAGGGTCTTGACCTTGGAGACCACTCTAGACGGCGTAATTGTGTTAAATGCTGAATTGAAATCAGTGAACAGGTGCCTTGTTCTTGCCCCCCAGTTTATGTTCTTAACATGAGTCAAGACCAGTCTTTTGACCCACTTAGCTCTTCTAACCCATTCTACTGCCAATGTTTGCCTATGGAGATTAGAAAGAGACTGTCTAGAACAAAGGTCTTTAATTAAAATTCAATAAGGTCCATTCAAAGAAAATTTCCTCAAGCAAAGGTCCGGAACCTCATAATGTCTAACTTGTATTATGATTCAGTGCCATATACTGTATACTGAAGTAATAGTTATATCAACGTCTTATGTAGTCAACAACTGAATGTCAAATCAAATAAAGTACAATCAATTCAGTAATATTTCAACACTATTTATTGTCAGTTTCCCATGTAAAATAATCTGGCTCACTTTCTTCTCCAACTGCTATATCTCGCCTCGTCCCTCCCCTGTGTGTGCGCCACTCACTCGAGTCTGAGTAATGCACAGATCTGATTGGCCGAGTAGCGCCACGTGTGATTTTTACAACGCATGCGATTGGTCTGTGAGTTTCCCGGGCCGCTAAAGCTGTACCGTAAAGGCTAGAAAAGTTACGCAGATTAAAATAGGACCACCCGGTCAAAATTAAATAATTCTCCATAGTTTATTGGTTATAGGCCCAGGTCCGCATAGGACAGTGTCTGGGTCCGGACTCGGACCGTGGTCCGCCTATTAGTGACCTCTGGTCTAGAAGATTACCTGTTTGGTAATTGGTGAGGCTGAAATAGTCAAAATTATCGGCACCCCTAGAAATCTACTTCAGATATATTCCCATTCATATATTATTTTTTTTAACTCTTAGGAACTCCCTGACTTTCTGTTTCAAACATGAGGTGACATGTAGATCAAATCATCCAATCATCCACCAACATGGGAAAGATCTGAGAAAACACTAATGAAATTATTACCTCTCCCTTACTGTGCCCCTGACTTATCCAAAAATGCCTTGCCATACGTGTTTGCATAAATCTTTACATAAAATAATATTTTGCTCCAACAAAATACTCTTGTGGGAGGACGGTTTAAGAGGCTTGCAGGAAAAAAGCCTCTGCTGACATTAAACCACAAATATAAGTGCCTAGAGTTAATTAACATGAATGGAGCTTTAAATCTTAGATCCTGGACTTTTTCTGCCAGCAAACGCTAGAGATAATTTTGGAGCTAGAAAAGAATTTGTGTGATGTATGATCATGGATCGGTGATGACATGACATCATGATTTTTCTAATCAGTCTAATCAGATTTATAATAAAATTCAAAATTCTAAACTCTGCTTACAAGTTTTTGTTTGTGTACAAGAGCTGTAATCCACCTTACTACATATGGCATAATGTAATGTATGTGTTTATTATGGTGCTTGTTTTGTATTGTTTATACTGTGAGCCTTCCTGTGATTTTTTTTTTCAAACCAGAGGAACTGCTCTGAGGTACACTCACTTATATTCATCTTGTGATGCTGTAAATGCATGCGCACATGATAAAAAAGAAAAGTTGTTGAGTTGGTTTATTGTTATCATCTGAAGCTGTCAACAAAAAAGGTATGGATTTTGTTGGATGGCTCTACTTTGAGAGAATATGTGAAGGGGTGAGAAAGCTATGTTACTTTGTCTGTCTAATACCATGATTAAATATAACACATTTTTGAACTTGAGGACAGAGAGACGTCCAGTCCAACCTACAATTCCATTTGATATATGGATTCGAAAACTGCAGTGAAAAAATGACTGGCCAGATGCCAGTAAGCATACTGTGCTGCTGCCATGCTTTGGAACAGATCAACAAATAGTATTCAACATTCTTACAAATGAACAAACAATATGGCCACTGATGATTTCAAAGCATATCACATTCCTAGAATAAGCTTGGTTGTGGAAAAGCATAAATTTCACCAATTCATGAAACCAAAGACCAGATGAAACCATGTCTGTGACTGTGAAACTGTGAATTTGTAGCCACATTGGCTGCTATGAGGCTCTGCTTCAAGTGCTGATGAGTTGAAACCTAACTTGCTAATTGAAATAATAGAAATAGAAAATAATAGAAATAATCTGTAATCAATAATGTATTTCATTACTAATGAACAAGCATGAGAAAAAATCGCTTGTTCCCCCAGTAGTTCCCATGATATAAAGTACATTTGTGGAATGAATGGATAGATTAAACACAGTAGCAACAAATGTTCCTTGATGAATGAATTACGAAGTTATTTGCAGCATACCTTTTCAATGTTTGAGGTGAGAGGAATTTGACTTGCTGTTTTTGCTCACAAGTTTATGCACTCGAGTTTACGCAATGGGCTCCAGGAGACCTAAGGAGAAAAACAGTTTGACTCTGAGAAGCAGTCATATAGCCATAAGCCATAAGTCATAAACTTTTTTCTGTGCTGACCAAAAGCAAATCATGTTTAGTTTATTCTCATTCACAATATACTGTAATAGCAGGGCGCCACCTGGGGGAGGCGCTGCCTCTGCTGTACTACCAGAGATTGAGTAACGTTCAGCCAATCAAATCAGACCTCATACGTTATAAGCCAATCATTTTAGATCTGGGGGAGCGTCTATGTTTATGCACTGCAATGTAATCGGTAGCCGAGCTGAAGACAGGATTTTGGCTAAAATCCTGAGAAGGGTCTGCAGACATTGTGGGGGGAATCTAACTAAAATAAACATTATACCTCATTCAAAATCTATAACATACAGAGTGAAAAAGAGTTTATCAGAGTGAATACATCCACCTACAACATGAATTTGTGGCAAATTATGGTCAGTATAACAGGATATCTGTTTTTTTTCTTACTTGATTACTTAACTCTAGCCAGCTAACTTTGGGTTTGATGAAGTAAAGAGAAGAGGTTAGGTTAACACTAACATTTGCTAACTAGCTGACAAGCCAACAACTTTAACCTCATGTCATAGTGTATGCGAGAGTATGTATGAACAAAAACAACCTAAATGAACAAAAATATAATATCTGTCACCGTGACCACAAATTTCTGTCATTCAGCTTATTAATACCTACAGAGCAAAATCATGGTCTTTCTGATTGCACCAACTGAGACTGAACTGATCTATAATCTATGTGTTTAAAAATTTATTTAGGACCTTGCAGCTTATCTAAGAGAGAGGAGATAGCATTGTTTGAGTTCAGTTCCTTTGTTTGATCTGTGCCTGATGTATGTGGATGGATATGGTGTTTGTTATACTAGCTCTGTATCTCTTTGGGGACCATGCCCCTAGACCCCCCTAGTAAAGGCTTAGCTCCCCTATCCATGAACCCTTAATGATGCCCCTGTGCATACACTCAGCATGACACATACTGAGTTAACAAAAAGATTACAGAGTAAAAAACGAAGTATTAGTATTAAAGGTATGAGGAGAACAAAACAAAAAAGTACATAAATTCTGAGAGACAATTGTTTTCACTCAGAATTGCATCTTCTTAAAGATGGGGGCAACAATGTTCTTAGTCTTTAGCAATTGCTCTTTAGCCCTAGAAAAAAAAAAACAGCTCAGTAAATCAAATCTTGTAAGTTGTAAACCAATCGTATCAGGCATTTGAACTCAGTGAAGGTCTGCGAAGCTACCTTCAGCAAGCTTTGGACAGTAACCTTCAGCATTGGCAAAAAAGTTTACTAGCATATTCTGCACTATACATTCCCATTTCAATTTAGTTAAAAAAAAGACTAAAAAAAGAAACCATTACTTATTATCATTACTCTAATCTAATCTAAACTGTCAAATGCCACAGTTACACCCCTGCACACCAGGCTATAGAAACTAGGAGCATGATAGCAAATGTACACACATTTTCATACATGTAGGAGCATGTTCATACAGCATTGCAATATAATGTGACGCCATGGACAAAGGCTGGAGGGGGTGAGGGTGGCAGGGGCAACATTTATTACAGTAAATAATATCCTTCAGGCTTACTATTTTACTGCATGAAAACAGCAGTGATACTTAAGGGTTAATGTTAGTATAGTTACCTACAGTCCTGGGGTAGTTACTCAAAAAAAACATCCATTACAAGTTACTAATTACTACTTTCAAATTGTAATGGAATTACATTACATTACAAGAGGATTACTTCTTCGAAAAAGTAATCGCACTACTCAATGCTTATTTTCTACTTTAATCAGAACCTAATTATCATCTCACTATACATTGTAACATATCTTAAAACAAGCAAAAGTAGTCTCAACTGATCTGCAAAAAATGTGCATTCAGGGCCCCCCTTTTTTGCCAGAATCACTAAATCCAGCCTGGAGATACCTCTGAAAGTTGATTAAATAAAAACGATAATACTGCTGCAGTAAATTTCCAGAATTTCAGTGCTTTGTCAGTATAGTAACATTCCTGAAATTGGTTTGAAAATGGTTTATTTTTTACTTTGCAAGCTACAGTTATCATTAATCAACTAATTAATTAATTAGTTAATTAATATAGCCATTCATTCTCTCTCTCTTTCCCTCTCCCTTCCCAGGTGTATCTGCTTTTGCCGTCAGTCATATGGAGGGCCTTTGATCAATCAGAGCCCTGACTTGTGTAATAGGGGCACGAGCCTAATGCTTAAAAGTTGCCTTCAAGCTTCAAGATGGCAGGGGACTCACCTCATAAGGTCAGCACATACAATATATGGACAAAAGTATTGGGACATTACACCTACAGGAGCTTTTGACATCCCATTCTAAATCCATGGGTATTAATCTGGAGTTGGTCCGCCCTTTGTAGCTGTAACAGCTTCCACTCTTCTGGGAAGCTTTCTACAAGATTTTGTAGTGTGTCTGTGGAAATTCATCCAGAAGGGCATTTGTGACGTTGGATGAGGGCCTGGCTCACAATCTCTGATCTAGTTCATCCTTTGGACAATTGTCCAAAATGTCTTGGTACACTGAAGCATTAAGATTTCCCTTAACTGGAACTAAGGGGCCTAGGCCAACCCCCTGAAAATCAACCCCATAGCATTATCTCTCCTCTACCAAACTTTACACTTAGCACAATGCAGCCAGGCAGGTAATATTCTCCTGGAATCCACCAAACTCAGACTCATCCATCTGACTGCCATATAGAGAAGTGTAACTCGTTACTCTGCAGAGTACGATTCCACTGCTTCAGAGTCCAGTGGCACACCACTCTCCCCGACACTTGTCATTGTGCATTTTGATCTTAGGCTTGTGTGTAGCTGCTCGTCCATGGAAACCCATTTTGTGAGGCTCCTGAAGCGAAGTTCTTTTCTCCAAGATGCTTCCATTTCACAATAATAGCACTTACAGTTGACAGGAGCAGATCTAGCAGGACAGAAATTTCACAAACTGACTTGTGGCAGAGCTTGCATCCTGTGTTTAAAGTCACTGAGCTCTTCAGTGCGACCCATTCTAATGCCAGTGTTTGTCTATTGACAACTCAGTAATTAGGAGGGGTGTCCCAATACTTTTGTCAATATAGTGTATTACCTTCTGGTTATATCAATAGGCCACAGGAGTACCAGTCTCTCAGCATCTGCTCAAAGTCAGTGTTTGATGTTTGAGTGAAAGAAAGCAGGTAATTTAGGAGAAATATCCAATCATGTCATACTTTCAAAACTAATATCTAATCTAAAAGGAAATGGTATCTAATATGCTACATATATCTAATATGCTACATATGTAAAGATAGATACTATATACACTTCTTGCTAAAAGATACAGCCTTACATAATGAGCAAATTAACTTCACTGTTGCAGTAATGAACCTATTGTATACATCAATTATCTGTTTTCTTGGTTTAAAAAGTGAGAGGCAATGCAGTACAGATATGCATTCACCGAGGAAAGTAACTGAATATGTGTCTTCAAACAGCAATAGAAGCATTAAATATGGTTTGAGCTATGCCTCTGGGAGGTGATCTACACCATGAAAATGATTCTTCTGAAGTGGTGTGCTCTTATAAAGCAGCTTCCTCATCTGGTTGGAATCTCTATAAAGGCATCTTTTGGACATAAGACAATATAATGCAGTCTAAAGCAATCACAAGTAAATGCTCACAAAGCTGTGTGGTGTGTGCATGAACATATAGTGAAGAAAATCACACATATAAAAACTAATCGTTAACTGACCTGGAGGTGATTTATTTTTAAATTGGTTAGGACTAAAGCTCTAATGATGAGTGTATTAGGACTAAAGCTCTAATGATGAGTGTAATTAAAATCTATGCAGTTCTGTGAACTGGAAGACTCAGTGACTGATAGGTTTTATCAGTCATTTATTTTATTAAGGTTATAAGAAACAGAACTTCACGAGTGTTTTGCAATTTCTCTGCATGTTTACAAACATCAAACACAAACGTGTGTATCACCCTCCCTCTTGTGCCAAACACACATTTTTATGCTAACTACGACTTCCTCACAAGCTGAATTTCTGCAAATAGCCAACAATGTATCTATCCATTTTTCTTTAGTTCGTATTATGATGGACACATTATTAATACCACTTTAAGACTACGTGCTGTTTAAGTTTTGTTTATAGTGGGGGAAAACAAATCTCATGAAAGGTTATTATAAGCTGAAGAGCAGCTGTCATGCACAGCTAGACTGAACTGCCTAGTTGTGTATATTAAAATAAAATCGCCGATTTGACTTCGTTTAAAAGGGGTTAACAGAATTGGCAGCATTAGCACTTCATTGCAGACTCCTTTAATGAAATCACATCCATCTGTGTATTTTAAAATTAAAACAGTTGCTTTGACGGCATATGACAGTCCTATCTCAGGCACGTTTCTCACAGCTTTGGATGCACTGGATGACGATTTTTAAAAATAAATTCTGCGTGGCTTGTAAAATTTTTACATGTGTAAGTCAGCCTTTGTGTTGCTGTGAGTGTCTTTAGAATGGGATCAGCCTGAAAGTTCAAACGCCTTTACAAATGCATCTATATTTTACGATGCCTTTGGGTACTCATCATAGTTTTTGAAAGAGACCGTGAAGTAATGAACAGCGCGTATCATTTACCAAATGCTTTACGGTGGGAGACGACCACATAAATGCAAGATGGAGCCAAAGCCCCTACACCCCAGCGGGTGAAAACAAGCACGGTTATACAGCTGACTTACCCTTTTTGTTTGAAATAAATCCAGTCATGTAGTCAGCTCTTCCATTTTCGATTTTCACGAGTATGCAGTAAAAAGTCCCTTTAACACTGCATCGTCAGTATTCGAGCGACCGTATAATTTTACAGAACCGTCCTATGCGCGTATAGCAAGTTTCACCGCAACCTAAAGTTGAATTCCTGGAATATCACCAGAGTAAACGCGAGGTCCATGACTTGAACTCACAACAAGCTCACTCCATACGAGTTTCAAGGAAACAGATCTTTTTCACACAAACGCTCATACGCGTTGCATATGAATTCCCCGTATTTATAAAGGCTATTTCATGCAGCAGTATAACGACAGTAGAGATAATATAGGAGCTGCCGTTTTCCCAGCCCCTAAATAAGCTACCGCACAGTAAGCATGCTCAGAGGCATCAGTGTTTGAAGAGTTCATGCGCAAAGACGCCACTTTAGCGCCGACAACATAACAGCAATCAATTAATTCAGGGTAAAAATTCTGTTTTTACAAAGCACGACGGCGTTTTTATAGTCATGATATTCAATAATACACATGCGTTTTGAAGAACTAGGACCTAGATAGCTCTTTCTTTTGACGTTTAAGTAAGCTTAAAGGCTCAAAAAATCACAAAGTGGCATTATCTTTACCTCATTTTGTTTCATGGGTAGTATTGTATACAATCGCTTAGCTGCTGTATTTGTGACATATTGGAATAAGAATATTACGCATAAGTGCAATGCAAAATTTATAAAGGCTTATAAATTAGCTCACAGATGAACTAACAGGCTACATGTGACTCCTCTTCACTACTGGACCATGAGTTTTGTTTAGTGAAATAAAATGTAGAACAGAAACATACACGTAAAGGAAAGACTGTATGACCACTGGGAGGAGACAGAGTAGCAGGTTCTTGTGGCTGTGGTGAGATATAGGAAGTGACTTTTTGTCTTGAAATTACAGTTGTTGTGAGTTTTTTTCTTCAATTGCTAGACGCACTTCCCAAAACTCCAAAAACAATCCCACAGGAGTACATCTTCAGTATCTTTAGTTGGGTAACTAGGCCTGTCACAGGTATTACATAATCGCCTGATTACAATTATTTCAGATAATTGCAATTATTTCATCTGATCGCATTTATTTTACACAGTCATTAGATTTCACAATCATACTGAAGTTGGCTTGAGCCAAATAAATGCAAATGAAATAAATCACTTTCTTCTTTTCCTTTTATAACTTACAATTCTAACATTTGCATGCTATAACATGTTTAGGGGGAATATCAATTTGTTCATTTGATAGCTAGTATAACTAACAAGAACAAATGTTTTTCACTCACATTTTCACAGTCTCGAGAGAAAAATGTGAGTGGTTGACTGTGTAACTGTAGACATTTGTTACACAGAGCATATTGCAGCATATCTCTTGTTAGCTGCAAAGAAAAGATAACTAATAAGCCAGTCTAGTTGTTTTGGATTTGTACTTTATTTGTTGCATAAAATGAACAAGATCATCAGCTAAAATTTCATGATCATGACAGGCATTTTGCAAACATATTCCATTGCCGTTCTTTTGCTGCATTGACTCCACATACCCTGCTCCAACTCCTTTATTTTTATTATACCTTTAAATTTAAAGAAAGAGTTAAGTTATGAAAAGATATAATATATGCAGCTATTCCCTGGGACTATGAATGTAGTCTACCTTTAACACTCATTAAAGATACACAAGACCACTGTTGTGGGTTTGAGGGTACATCTACTTTATTCATACCATTATTGAAATTTTCACACAATGTAATGGACAGCTCAAATGATGTAGAAAAAGCTTTAAGCAAAGGAAAAACTTTTCAACAAAGCTGCTGTAAGAATGGTTGTGACAATAAATCAGTCAGAATTTTTACACTGTAAACTCCAATGTTGAAAATCATTAACTGAATTAAGAATAATAAAGAACACTTAAAACACACACTAACGCTAGAGTATTATTTATTAAATAATATATTGTGTTCAATAGAATTTTCCTTTTTAAGTTCAGAAAAATACTAATTTTAACCCCTTGAATGGCCAGGGCCCATCAGCAGGCCCAAAGTTTTATTACACATTTCTATAATCTAAAAAAAGCTCTACCAGTTTGCACTGAAGTCCTTGTAGTTACTGATTTTGAAGGGTTAATTTTGATTTAGTAATGTAGGTGGTCCTTTCTAGCATTTTCGGTGCTTTTATTGGTTTGGGTTAGCTCTTGTTTTTAATTTGTTCTTAGTTATTTTTTAGATAAAGTTAATTTTGGGTTATAACATCTTCATGCTAAGGGTTAGGCTTGTAAACAGTTGGTTGTGGATTGTAACATCCTAGCCTCCTGCTAGGCCACCCCCGTCCACCAGAGGGAGAAAGAGAACTGAACCATGCTGATCTAGAATTCATGCTGTCTCATAAAAAGTGCTCTTGACAAAGTCAGTAACTTGGTAAAAGTTCACAGTCTTATCTCAACCCAAAGCTTTCTGGGCTTCGCCAATATCTTCTGCCCGTTTGTTTGGAATTTTAGCATGGTGGCTGCCCTGTTGACTGCCTTCACAAAGAAAGGGACAGTGTGGTTCCAGTAAACCCTGGAAGCCCAGAAAGTTTTTGAAGAGCTAAAGCATCACCTGCCCTTCACTCTGGTTCTGTGGCTTCCTGCCCCTACACTACCATTTATAGTGGAGGTTGACATCGGCTGTAGTGTGGAGGGGCCCCCAGGTCAGCAGTAGATCCCATCCTCCATCAGAGATCAGGTTTTCAAGTAGGGGCACACCTCCCCTTTTGCTTGCCATCCAGGGGTGTCCCTCACACTCAAGTTTCTGTGGCGGTGCTTTTGCTAGCCAAGCATGGAGAAGGATGTATGTGCCTACATAGTGGCCTGCCAGGTCTACGCTCAAAACAAGGAGCCCAGAATGCAATCGGAAGGTCAGCTTAACCCCTTCCCATACCATCTCGGCCTTGGTCACATATTTTCGTGCACTGGGCTTTCCGTATCCCAGGGCAGTCATCATGGTTGTTGTCGACTGGTTTTGTAGGGCCTCCATTGGTCAAGGAGATGGCCACACTGCTACTGCAGCATGTGGCGAGGGTCCATGGGTTTCCTGGCAGACTTAGTGTCTGACCTTGGATCCCAATTAAACACCCAGTTCTGGAAAGCATTCTGCCAACTGCTAGGGGCCTCCATAAGCTTATCCTTGGGCTTCCAACTTTAGTAGAATGGGCAGTCTGAGAGGGTTAACCAGAAGATTGAGCAGATGCTTAGATGCCTGGCCTCCTCTAGACCATCCATGTGGTCTGAGCACCTGCTCTGGGCAGAGTATGCCCATAATACCTTGTGGCATTCCTCACTGAGCATGTCACCTTTGGAGTGCCATTTTCAGTATGCTCTGCCCATGTTCCTGGAGCAGGAGTCTGAGGTTGAGGTCCCCACAATCTTCTTGTGCAGTGGTGTCGGCAGGTCTGGCGGAAGGCCTGTGCTGTGCAAAAAAGGCCTCAGCATTGCAGAAATGAGGAATGCAAGTGAGGTCTGGGACCCTCATTTCAGCTGGGGCAGTGGGTCTAGCTCTCCGCCAAAGACCTGCCTAAAAGATTTCTTGCAAGCTTGCCCCACAGTATGGCTATTTAAGGTGATGCGGTGTCCTACCAGCTCTTCCTTCTCCACTCCATGCAAATAAAACTGACATACCTCAAGCCAGTCTTCTGTAGCTCCTTTGCTCTGGCCTCTACCCCTCCACCACAATGTTTGTTCACCAGGTCCCCGGCCTACACCATGCAGTGGCTGCTGGGCTCCCATCAGGTGCAGGGCGGTACCCAGTGCTTAGTGGACTGGGAGTGGTATGGGCCAGAGGAGTGTTGCTGGCTCCTGGTTCAGCACATTCTGGATCTAGAGCTCATCAGGGCCTTAGGGAGGGACTGTGCAGCAGAAGTGGGAGTGAGTCTTTGTCATGAGGGGTTTATGAACTAAAACCTTACTATGATGTTCCACTCTGTGTAGTTGTGGATGGACTGTTCTTGCTGACACCGACTGATCACATCCTGCATGACATTGTCAGTCAACTGAGAAAAAGTTGCTATTCTGTTTTCCTAACATATCACACTAATGCACGAACATAGAACTAATTAAATATGTGCTTTAGACTACAATTTCCAGCACTGAATCTAAAGATCTAAATACAGATATCCTTTTAGTCATTGTGTCTACTCAAACACTAGCAGCTTTCTTGATTTAAGCTTTTGTCATCTGTGCCCTAATAATGAACTTTTAAAAGTCACTTCTTCTTTTCTTTTTGCCACATCGATCCAAAATTGAGGTCAACAGTTCCGATTTTTTTTTTTACATGCCACAGAGCACTGCAGGATGTTACCTAAAAATTGTATCATACAGTACACTTGTCTGGAAGCATCTTTAGTCTGTATGTTTCTACACTCATTATTCAGCTTTTCTGTTAATTTATCACCTGTCTGTCACACTTCTCATCCATGCAGCCGGTTTGTTTTCACAAGATCTATACCTGAAGTCACAAATTCAAATTACCAGGGGGCCACTAGTGATTTGGTTTTCTTCAAGCAGAGCCAGTTGAAAAAATCCAGGTAAAAAAGGCTGCCATAAAATTGAGAATGAAATTTAACTTCATGACGTTTTAGTATTAGTAGTGATTATAGAAATATACTACGGTGGCTGAGAAAACCCAACGTGCTGCATATTAACAAACACTACAAAATCACAAAACATCTCTATCAAAACTAGAACTCGTGCTACATCTTACAAAGACACTGCAAATTCAAGGACACTTCACAAATTAAGAAAACGCTTTAATCAAAACGACAACACTCACTACATTTAACAAAAGTGCCGCAAATTCACAGACGCGATGCAAACACAGAAAACAAATGCAACTTCTGCAACGCCTCAAATCCGATCACAACACAACAGAAATGAGCCATAACACAACGAAAGTGTTGTTTCCGGACGACACTAAAAGGAGATGGACCCATATGGAACCGGTGCCAAGCCATGGCAACTGGTCCGTATGAGAAGTTATATTTGCTAACTATAATTACCATGGTTTTATCATAGGTATATGATAAGGAACTAACAATTGACTTATCTGTACTCCGCATGTTGTTGTAGTTACTGTTGCTAGGTTGGATAAGCTCTAAAGAATGATAGAAAATTCACAATAACTACATTTAGTGATTTTTTTTGATAACATAAATCTAAAGAGTATTATATATATATTTTTATACTTTTCCTTCTTCTCTTTGTGTATTGCCCTTTCTGTGGCTTCAGACTGGAGCAAACGCCGAAGGTTTCTAGTTCTTGTGGGCATGATGTGCAATTTTTAAAAGAGG